CCAGGGTGATTATTAGCGAGATATACGGTAGTAACAAGATTTAAAGAAATAACTACATTTTAATCTCATACAAAAATTAAAATCAAAAGGTCAGAATTTCCTACCGGGTTATCCATTTTTTTCCTATAACCTTGTTAAAGTGACGTTTGTTTAGCGCAACTCTATTAGAACCTTGCACACAAACAACATGCATAATCTCACGCCATCATATCAGGTCGTTACTAATGCCTACGCTCACACCTATACTTATCTACTCAATTTTTAGCACTTTTCATGAATGTCAACAAAGGTCAATTCGCATTTTAATCCACTGATGGTTAAAAGCAACAGCTATGGAAAAGAAAAGGAAGTGTAGAGTTATGGCTTATCAAGAAAGTAATAAATAAGTAAGTGTATATGAAGGGTTTTTGCGGAACCACGTGGCTTCAGTGCAATATAAAAATTTGCCGGTCACCCCTGGTTCATATACAGGCTTCTCACACTCATTTAGTTAGCTCACTCTCATCAACCGACTGTTAAAATAAAGTTATTCATAGTACACAAAAGTACGTACATATGAGCCGTTTATTTTGAAAGCGGCATAAGTCACTTTACACCACTTATGCTTGTATATGAACGCGTCCGTTATTCGTTGAACTTCATCCACTGATGGTAGAGGATTTTGTCGTTAGTTTACGAAGATAGAGCTACTAATTAGAGATGCCTTCAGTTACAAGTAGCCATTCATTTAACCGCAAGAGGTACGAAGTGACTTATGCCACTTTCAAAATAAACGGCTTATTAGTATGTGCATTGCCCGTACGTATGTTAATACATTTATGTATATGCATATACCCGTACATACATTTATTTAATAGTGCAAGGTACGCCATTTCGGGCCTTTTTAAGTTTTTGCAAATCACGCCACTAACTCAAATAACTGTTCTTTTTAGCAATAGTCTAAGCAGATTTTCGGCATGTAGACATTCATTACAAATTAATTACTAATCTTACCCGGATTTCGATGCCTGTGTTGATGTAATAGAATGGATACGCAGACGATGAGCGATATCTTTCAGCTCCTGGATGGCTTTTGCTTCAGGCTTGTGGTACGACATTTTTACACTTTTGTGATTGACTTCGTTGAATGAAAATTTTCAAAGGAAATTATTTGCTGAAAATATTTAAGAATTTGTGACAAAGTCGCGTCCACGTCCGTTCTAAGCTAACCAAAGCGACTGGCGTACAAAAGCGAACTGACGATAGAGCCTTAGTAGCTTACCCCACTAACCGGTTGCTCAAGCGTTTCAATGCTTGACTTGTGGTAGTTGGATTGTATTGTAACTTTCGGTTCATTTTCTCCCTACTTACTATCAGCTCCAGAAAACGTATGGAAAAGTATCCACGCTTGAAAGTCAATGCAAATGTATTGGTAAGACAGAACGAAAGCGGATTAATACCCTGTAGAGAAAACTTGAATGCACCAGTGAGACGAAAGTTTTTTTAATCGCGGTCATTGCTGAATTCATAGTGTTCGACTGCGACTGTATCTATGGCATATGTAAGTAAAGAATAGGGCCCGTTGAGCTAGAAAAACGGTGAAAGAAATATTTGACACTAGCTTATTTGAAAACTTGAAAAATTTCTATAAGATAGCCGAACGTCCATAAAATACAGAAAATAAAGCGAGAAAGCTGCTTTATTACTACACCTGTTTTTAATTTCACCGTGGGTAGAGATGTCGCCTATAATTTCGTGTGTCACAGGTTCAAATTCCGGCACATGCATTAATTAAATCATAGAAAAAAAATGTATACTATACAAATAGCCACGGTGACCTAATAACCAATGTCCATAACGTACTTAAAATATGGAGAGAACACTTTTCCACCGAGCCCCAGTCGATGACGACGGATCCGGTGCCTGACTATGATGAGGTACGAATTGCAGTTACTCGGGTGAAAAACAATAAAGCTACTGGAGCTGACGGTCTACAGGCTGAGCTATTCAAGTATGGTGGCCAGGATTGGGTAAGGTGCACGCATCAACTTTTATTCAGACTATAGTCAGATGGACGCATGCCCAACACCTGAAATTTAAGTGTGCTCTGCCAAATCCTCAAGAAACGAGACCCCATCATACGCGCAAAGTACCGTGAGATCAGCCTTCTAACCATCGAATACAATAGCTCTGATCCAATACTTTTCGTGGAAAAATCCTGTAAAACTGTCAAACAGCAAAATTACTCTCTGAAGTGAGAGTAAAAAGTGATTGACAACAAAAAGTAGGGGAACAAAAAAACCATTTTTCCTGTAAAAACGCCAACCAGTGATTGCTTGAAACTTTTCATGATTTTACCAGAAGAAAAAGTTCGGGTAAAATCTTGCAACTTCATTCTCTACACAACTCTCCAAAAGTCGCCCTCATTTATAGGATTTTGGAGTACGGAAACATTTTTCCTGCAACTTCCTGCAAGTTCGTGTAAAATCCTGTAAGTTCATGGAGTACTGGATCAGAGCTAATATCTTGTTGAGAATATGATTTATTTAATCTGATGTTGGAGAAGAGAAAAAAGGACCGCGGAACTGATAGGGTGCTTGGGTAAGAGGCCCTGAAAGCAGCATTACAGGCATTTTCACAAAGTTCACCGCTTCATGAATTTTTTGGCGATGACATCAGTTCACTGAGAGAGGCAACCTTCGTGCTCGAGAGAATCACTTCATCAGGTCTTATTAGGACTTATCGCGAAAACCGTGTATTTCTATATTTTAGATTTTTCTCAGTCGGTTCGTTTCTTGGTACTGTATAAGAGTGAGCTTAATGTAGAAGTGGTCAGAAAACAAGTGATCTTTGGACACCAACAATCTCTTTATCTGGTCAGAAAAACTGCTTGATACCAGGCTGATGTCCAGCACTTCTCGTCTAACAGAGATCACAAAGAGGGATCGTTGCCACACCGGACACTCAAGAAAGTAGTGATGGAACGAATATTGGCGGGCCATGGCCGATGCTGGGCAGGGACTATAGATTCCTCCATAACGCGGCAAGCTCTTTCGAGAATGCCCCACATCTCAACTTGGTGTTTATGACTACTGAACTAAGATACAGAGCAGAAGACGATGCTGTGCAGTCCAAAAATTTAAGTTTGAAGAAGATTTTCCACTGTTCATGAGTGTCAATGAGTTCAAGTCAGGTGTTGAATTTCTGTACATATATTTACTTTTTTTTAATTTTTTGTATCTTAAGCTTTGTGTGATAGTGCTGATACTTGCGTTAGCACCTTGTGCCGATTTTCTGGTTGGTCTTAATTTAATTTTTTAATTTTTCAGCTTCGCTATAGTTTTAAGAAATCTAACGTCCAAATTAGTAAAAACCTCCCCGACCCATATCAGATAATATGGGGCTTAAAACAATGGAATGCCATTTGGGGCAATTTTTCAATCCAATATTGAAAAGTATAATCTGGTTACCTGTACCACCATACCCTGCTCTGTACATTGGTTTATGTCGAACCTATTGACATCGCACCCTGCGGCGGTGCTCAAAACGCGTTTTTCAAATGAGCCGTTTATTTCGAAGATGGCATAAGTGCCTTTGTTTTTAAATCCAGATATGTAAGGGTTACCACGTTTAAAAATATTGATGCTAACTCTCCTGAAGATTTTTCAGTACAAGTAATTTCGTTCACCACTTTTCATTAAGGTGAAGGGACTTATGCCACTTTCAAAATAAATAGTTCAGAAAAGTTACTTACTTACATATATCAATATTGTTGGATGTATTTTACTGAAGTGACGTTCTGAAATCACTGCAATTTACTAAAATTTATGAAAAAGTCATATTATATTATAATAGTGTTAATTATAAAGGTTTATTCAATTAAATTGTAACACCGTGTAACAAAAACCAAAAAAAAATAAAAACACACGAAACAAATATAGCAAAACTGCGTTTTAAGTGATTCCCTCAGGGGTCAGGATTTTTCTTTAAATGACTTTGAAATTTCAAAGATATGACTAGCTCCAAAACTTATTTAAAAATTTCAGTGTAATCTAGAATACAAATATGGGTACCAAATAGGAGAAAAACATTTTTAGCATTTAAAAATATTACATTTTTTTGGTTCACAAGGACGAATTGGCATTGAAAATGCCCTTTTAATTATATTTATTTTTTTAAGCCATTAAAGTAGACGGACCAAATTCGAGTGTATGGTCGTGTGTGTATTAACTCTTAACCCATAAAAATACAGTCTTACTATAATTAGCTCCTAGTTTTGTGGGTATGCTTTGTTTTATGTAAAATTCTCGGTGTAATTATTTTTATGATTAACTTAATTTTTTAAGTGGCCACTTTCAAAATAAACGTCTTCGTTATACCGCTGATTAGTAAAACTTCTCTCTGATATAACTTCGGTAGTTCCCAACATCGCAATGCAATTTTTTTCAAGGAATAGATACCGTTAAATTGTAATTAGTGTTAATATTAAATAGATTTTTTTTGAAAAGGTGGCTTATGCCACTTTCAAAATAAACGGCTCTAATGTTGATGTAAAAGGAAAAATTATACTAGCAGAGTCATAGCAAAGTACCACATCTCGTGTATAAATATTTGGTTCCTAACTGCTGCTAGCTGTCGGGTACTCAAAATCTAAGTTCAGTACGATATCGAAAGCGACTTCATTTGCGTTATGGAAATATGTTTCACAGTGTTTAAGGATAATATATGTACATATATGCATATATGTATCTCAAAACTATCTCCTCCACAAGAGGCTGTCGGTGTCTCTCAAACGCTTATGATTACTAAATTTTTGTGTCGGGTAATGTAATGATGACCAGTGCAGTTTCCAGCTACTTCGCGGTACGTGTGAAATCAGAGGCAAACTGGACTTAGGCAAAATACGAAAAATCTAAGGGTAGTTTCCGAATGCTCGCTTTTCATTTCCATGAAAGAAGCTAATAAAGTAAAAATCGCCAACTCCCTAAATAATTAAAGCAAAAAATACGATTTTTTTAATTTATTTGTTATATGGTTTTATTTTTTTGTAAACATAAATTTTTTCGGGGCAATTTGAATCGCATTTGCATGTATATTTAATTTCTTTTTATAATTTTGTAATATGTATACAAATTTCGCTAAACTTTTTCGTCAAATAAAACAACTTAAACAGACGATCCTTACATACCAACTTTAAAAAATTACTTTCGTTTTTAACAATTGATTAAATACACATTGCAATATAGATAATCAGCGCTATGCATTACGCAGAATAATATATATCTCTGTGCACTTTTTGATTTAAGTTAAGCGATGTTCACATATGCGAGTGCCAATGTCTTTATTTCAAATTTCAGCTTATGATTTCCATATATCCTATCCTTCATAACACTTTTAACTTAAATCTGTTTTCAGTAAGAATATACCAAAAAATTGTCATTCGTGGGGACCATATTTTACAATTCATCCTTGTGCAAACATCGAGAGTTATGGGTAATATCATAATATGTATGTATGCATAATGTTTTATGTATGTATGTTATAATAAATAAATAACTTAAATAATGAACAAACTTCTTCTCTCATATTGCCTCACTTGCACATACATACTTCTATATTTAGATTAATCCTATTTCATTCATTTGTTAGCATAATCGATAGTTCAAATGATTTAAAATGTACTGAATATAGCATTTTATAGTCAAATATCAACAAGTTTTACACAATTTAGTTATCTTATCAGTGTTTCATTATCTTACAAAAACATATCGAAAAATGTATTTGCCAAAATAACCAAACAAATGCGGTTAGAATAACCTTATGAGAAAAAAGATAGACACAAAAAATAAATGCTTTTATAAACAATATTCTCACAAAATAAATGAAAACACCTATAAATACTATTAAATGGTATCAAACTGGAAATGAACTAAAAATTTTGTAATCTTAGCGCAAATATATAGTCAATAAAATATTGCATATAGTTTTTACCGTTATACTCTCAACTTATGTATCCAGAATTTCGCACTTTATGAAAGCACCTAAACATAATAAGCCTTATCATGAGTTTCATTTTCCCCGAACCGGTTCACTTTTAACTCTTGGTTTCCATGGTTTTACAATGCGCGAATGACAAATTTTCGGGTGAATTTTTTTTTCATGTGAAACTCAGGATAAGGCAGAATTTCTTATTGCTAACAAAAGCAACAGTTAAGTTATAAAACAATTTAAACTTAATTAGACATTAAAGAGCTGGCGAAGATTTATGGTTGTGTCAAAAAAAAATTTAACTTAATCGAAACGAATATATATGGCCATTTATTAGCATAGTGGCGCGTTTTAACTGAAGCTATTTATAATGTTCCCAAAGATATTGACTCCAACGCTGAAAAAATGGCCGCATCTTAATGGAAGTTCACTGCCTCAATTCATTTCCCATTCGTTTGGTGTGTTAAACGAACTCGTTGCATTTTGTATTTAGATTTATGACTTTTTATTCCAGCGAAATTCCTTGTATCCATGAACTTAAATCGCTTGTATCTGCTTCCATAAAAACCCCCACCGGCTCATCTTTAGAGAGAATGTGTTGAGCAGCCGTCCGTCCACTCAAATAGGCACCATGTACAGTTGAATAAAAGTTGGAGTGTGTATGCTCGCCAGCGAACAAAACTGCAGGCTGAATGATAAGTAAATGCTTATTAACATTACTATAAGTATGTATGTATATGCTACGGTTATTGGTCGGTTATAGTCACTTTCTAAGCATTATTTTGTGGCAGGTTCTTCAATACCTACATAGTAACGCGTTTTTGTCTAAATTAAGATGGCTTTTTAAAAAGTCTAGGCATATTCCCGCTTTATACATTTTATAAAAAATTAATAAGCACAGTTGTTGTTGTTGCTGTTGTAGCAGCTACTAAGCCCCGCTCAGGTCGGTTCATCCGTCAACGTTGTCGTCCATTTCAGCTAGGAGGAGGCGCAGGAAGTGTGCGACTTCCACAGGGTCTGTCCATAGGGACAGGGGCGTAAATTCAGTGGGGTTCTCAGGGCATGTGAAGAGGTGCCGGGAGTCATGCGACGACTCTCCACATGCCGGGCATTGGTTGGGCACATCCTCATTGATTCTGCTCAGGTAAGAGCCTGCTGCAATAGCCAGAGCGCAGCTGGGCTATTGTAGTGCGGGTCTCCCGAAGCAGACAAAGTTCTTTCCCGTCCATGCCCGGTGGTTGTGTGCCTAGAACGACACAGGGCGGGAGTCTACGTAACTCGAGACTGATTCCCTGTGAATATCGTAAGGGGCCTGTCGGTAGGTTGACGGGTCCAGAGGTTGTTTAATAAACCTCTGGACTTCGTCCGTCAGTTCGTAGAGATGCCTCCTGACGTGGATTGGCGAGGGCTCTTCTGCAAGCAGCTGTTTGCTGGGATGACCGCGTCTGTGGCTCCCCATATGGAACTGCTGGCAGAGCATTGCATTGTGCTCCTTTACTAGGAGCATCTGGGTCTCGTCGTGTTGGTGGTGCTGGGGCGTCATCAGGAGGCATCCAGTCGCTGTTCGTAGTGCCGTGTTCTGGCAGGTCTGTAGTTTCATCCACCGCGTCCTGCTAGTCCCCGGCGACCATACGCGCATAGTTTAGAATCGGCCGGCCAATTGCCTTGTATGTTGTCAACATCGTTTCTTTATCTTTGCCCCAAGTGCTTTCGGCCAGCGACTTGAGGAAATTGTTGCGGCTCGGTACTTTGTTGACAATTGCGGTTGTATGCGCCGAGAAGGAGAGCAGACTGTCGAAGGTAACTCCGAGGACTTTCGGGTTATTCACCGTCGGTATTACGCCATCGACGTGAATACCCAGTTGCAGTCTGACCTCCTTCGTCCAGGTGGTGAAAAGGGTTGCCGAGGATTTCGCAGGGGATAGGGCAAGGCTCCTTGCAGTGAAGAAGCGAGAAAGTTCGGCGAGATAACCGTTTACTTTCGAGCACAAGTCATCAATTCCATTCCCAGACGCCTTGATCGAACAATCGTCGACATAGGAGACAATATTAACACCCTCTGGTGGTTGAGGTAGCTTTGAGATGTAATAATTAAACAGTAGCTGGGACAGGACACCATCCTGTGGTATCTTTAATTTTACGTGGTTTGCTATTTTTATACCCAAGCGCACTTGTGCACAAGGATATATTAACTTTGTTCACATAACGGTTGTTTGTAACAGGCAAAACGAATCGAGATAGATATAGACAAATGTATACATAAATGATCAGGATGAAAACAGAAATCGATTAAGCGGTGACTGTCTGTCCGTCCGTCCGTCTGTCCGTCCGTCTGTGCACACGATAACTCGAGTAAAAATTAAGATATCTTAACGAAACTTGGTACGTGTACTTCTTTCGGGCGTAGGACGGATGGTATTGAAAATGGGCAAAATCGGACAATAACCACGCCTACCTCCCATATAACGGTAATTTTCAGAAATACGAAAACTGCGATATTTTAGTAACTACTGAAGATTATTAACTCAAAATTGATATTTGCAATAACTTTTAGACGAAAAATAAGAATATTATAAATTTTTGAAAAATGGGCGTAGAAACGCCCACTTAGTGTTACATGTGTATATCTTGGCAACCGCTGCACCGATTTCTTCCAAACTTGGCACAGTTATTGGCCTTGGTACAGGATACCAAATTGCCGAAAATTAAAAAAATCGGACAATAACCACGCCCACATCCCATATAACGGTAATTTGGAGAAATACGAAATCTTCGATAAATCAGTAAATATTAAAGCTAATTTATTCAAAATTGATGCTTGCAACAATTCTTTACCAGGAAATACACCTATCATAAAATTTTGGAAAATGGGCGTGGCACCGCCCACTTATGATCACATATATGTATCTCGGTAACCGTTCTACCAATTTGTACCAAACTCGGTATGGTTATTGTGGTTGCCACATAAAAGCAAAACGTTCAAAATTATTGAAATCGGACTAAAATTACGGCTTTTCATATAACGGTAAATTTTAGAAATGCTTGAAACGTCAATATTTCGAAATTTAAGGACGCTAATTTATTCAAAATTGATACACCCCGGCTTACCATGTAGCGGTAGCTTTCGGAAAGGTGAAAAGGCATATATGTAATACTTGCGCCGGGTATTTAATGTTCGGCCCCGCCCGAACTTAGACTTTCTTACTTGTTATCTCTAAAAATTACTGACGAGTGTCGACCACTCAGGTAATTCGTCGACCACCGTTTGAGTCCCTGTGGGAGTGAGGAGGCCTTTATATCTTCTACTAGCGTTGAATGACACTCTCCTTTGTTGGCTGGTTTCCCCGGTTTGAGCAGTGGGACCACTCTCCCCATTTTCCAGATGTCTGGAATGACGAGAGTGGCCATAGACAGGTTGAGGACCTCCGTTAGGTATGCTACTCCCGCAGGACCATTTTTCAGCATCAACATATTCCGTCGGGTCCAATGGCTTTGGTGGCTTTCGCCTTCCTGATGGCTACCCTTACCTCACCGCTGGTGAAAACAAAAGGCGCACTGGGTTTTGGCGTTTTGTGCAGCCTTCTGGTCACTCGGGCCCCTATTATGAGTTGCATTCGATTTTCGACTGTGGTCGAAAGTGCTGAGCGAACGAATTTTCGTTTGGTATTATGGCGCTCATTCGATGAAGAATAGCGCTATTGTGAATTTCGCTCGTTTAGGTTGTTCACAATAGTATATTTTTCACCGCTGAGAAGCTTTGTTTACAAATCGAGCAAATTAAAAAGAGTGCGTATACATATTTATGCAAATTTGTTCTAATTAAAATGAAGTAAAAAAGAAATTTTATAAAAACGTGGTAAAATGAGTACAACGAGTTCTGGTTCAACGATTCGTCAGAGGATGAGAGCTTAGTAAACTGGCCAGGAGTAGCAAATGCTCTCTTAAACATTTAAGTTTATTAGTCTTTTGAATATATTTTTATATACAATATATTTAAGAAATTTGTCTACCGATTCATTAAAAAGTTCCGACCATCTAAAGAGGCGTTTGTGAGCCAAATCTATTTAAAATATTTTAAAACTATCAACAGCGCTACGATTTTGTTCTCAGAGATCGTGCCAACAGAGCATTGGGATTTTCTTTCACAAGTAAAACCAGCCTTTCGAGCTTGTGTTTAGTATTCACGATGTTAGAACTGCATGAAATTAATAAAAATTGTTTAAAATTAGTGTCTAGCCGCCAAAATGTAAGAAAACATATACAAAATCATACATTTTTCACAATTTTCTAACACTTCGCTACACCATCGAAAGCAAAATTCTGTTCGACAGAAAATTCGATACTCAACGAAAATTTCGACACGCTTGCATAGCTCATAATACGAATTTCACTTTCGATCTTCGATCTTCGATAGCCAGCGAAGATCGAAAATCGAATGCAGCTCATAATAAGGGCCTCGATGTTTGGCTTTATTCACCGGAGGATGCAGAATGAACTGCCGGCTAAAATATCTCGCGCATCGTTCCGACGAAGCGTGGTCACCAAACTCTATTTCGACTCTGTCGTCACACTTCGTCGGGTTGAACAACGACCTCACGGTTGACCACAGCTTGCTCACACCAGAGGCGAAGTTGCAGGTCTTCAAATGCTCTTCCCATTTCTTCCGCTTATGTACGTTCACAACAAGAATGATAGAATACAAGATTGCGCCGATCAGAGAGGATTTTTGAGAATAACTTTTGTGTGACGTCGCACTGGTGCAATTGCGAGAGCGGAATGCCAAAACGTGAGCAAGAATGGAAGAAGAAGAAAAAATGTTGCAAGGAAAACGTAAACAAGTTGCACAAGTGTGACGTCATGCAAACAACGATTCTGTCAAATTCGTTAAGAGAGGAATAGCGGTCCGAGATCGGCGCAACCTTTGTATTCTCTCAATCGTGCGTTCACAAGTTTCCGAATCTCCGAATTGAGATCCCTGATTCGGGGATTTCCGGGATCGGCCTGACGAAGGTTGTCGCACTCATCGGCTAGAACAGCCGCTTCAGCAGGAAAGTTCAGACGTGGATTCTTAATACATCCTGCTGGGATGAAGCGAGCTGCAGCAGCAGTGACAACCCTGCGGGATTTACGTTCACCTACATGAACGTCGGTTGGTATGGGCAGTGCAGTGAAGGCGCCTTCAGTAACATCCGCGAAGCCTTTCCAGTCAGCTTTGGAAAAGTTGACATAGGTCCGGTGATCCACGGAAACAAAGTCGGTACGTTTATCAATCGAGATGACTATGGGCAGATGGTCTGATTCTAGGGTCAGCATAGGTCGCCATGATACGCTGTTTATCAGACCAGCGCTGACAATTGTTAGATCTGGCGAGCTGCAGCAGCTGCCCATAATCCTGGTGGGTGCGTCGTCGTTCATTGTGCAGGATGTCGTATCGTCTATCTGCTCAGCCAGATGTATTCCTCTACGATCATTTGACAGGCTTGAGTGCCAAAGATCGTGGTGCGCGTTAAAGTCACCAACTGCCATACGGTTTTCAACTCTGAGTAGCGCACCTATTTCACAGTGATATCCTGCCGGGCAGCTGGTGACAGGGGGTATGTATACGTTAAATATTTCGAGCTCAACATCGCCTGACCGGATAGCAATACCCTGACATTCTAGGATGGTATCCCTGCGGTCGATGTCTGC